ACACGCACACACACAGAGACACACACACACGCACACACACAGAGACACATTTAGCTACATTAGATCTCATCAATAATCAGAAATCAGTGATTGGTTGATACTGACCCGGTGGGCGTGGCCCCCACAAAGCCGTCCTCCACCACAAAATGGCTGCAGCTGATTCGCTGTCCTCGGCTGTCAATCACCGCCTTACACCTGAAACAACAGCAGAGACGCCGTGATGTCACCGACCAGACCACCGAGCACCTGGTCCTGACGAGGTCACATGACTTTATACACCAACCACTGGCTGACTTTAATCCTGACACTGACCTTTGAACTGAAACAGGAAGCAGGAAGTGAGTCGGTGTTAGACTAAACATGTTTCCTGTTATTATTCTCAGACGTGGGTTCATAACAGACCAGCTCAATGATGACGCTATGACATCATCACCTGCTGTAACCACCTCGGTGCCACCGGACTGCGTCTGAGGCAGCAGATAAATGTTGAGCTGCTTTATGAAGTTTGAGACTTTAAGAACTCCGAGTCGTCCTCGAGACGCGCAGTGACCCGCTCAGCCCGCTTTATTAAAACACTGATGATAAGCGCAGTCATAATGAGCGCCGGGCTCAGGGCGACCATGATGGATCGACCCGCTCCACTCTGCAGCCTCTCAAGGCCGCCTCCACACAGCTCCACCCGATTACTGCGAATAATGATGCACGCGGGCCTCATCCATAACCTGCACACACACAGTCAGAGCGCCTTTTAGCTGCGTTAGCATTTTCACTCCTCAGTAACGAACAACCAGACGGATCATCAGTCACAACGACCTGTTTTCAGCTGGAACTGAAACTCTTTTCTCATCAACACACTGATCAAACTGAAGCTCCCAGGAGGAAACCACGAAACACCAGCTTCAGTTCAGAACTCCATTAAGAATCTGTCTCATTTAAGACTTTCAGCTGAACACAGTCGAGCGACTGACTGGTTCCATTTGAACCAGTGCAGAATAAACACGAGCTGATGTGAACAGAACAAACAGTCCACCGACCATCTGTCTGATTTTAGCTTCATACAGTCGTCTGTGGTTCAGTACAGACGAGACGGATTTAATCTGAACGAACACAGGAAACCAACAGCT